AATTTGAGCGCCATCTGTCAATTTGTTTACAGCAGCTGTTAATGTGAGATTACCTCAAGTGTATTTAGCGATTTTTACTATGGAAAATTCTTGTTGTACGCGATTTTTTGACCAAACACGGCACCACTGTCATCGTTCAGGCACCATATTTGCCAGATCTGGATCCGTGCGACTTTTTTCTATTCCCGAAACTTATATTGCCCCTTCGTGGTAAGCGTTTTGAGTCGATTGAATCGGTAAAAGAGAATTCGCTGAAGAAACTAAAAGCCATACTTTCACGGGCCTACGAAAAGTGTATGGAAGATTGGGTTAAGCGTTGGCATATGTGTATCGCTTCAGAAGGAGCATATTTTGAAGGAGATAAAATTTGGAATAAAATTTAAATTTGTGTTTTTTATTTACAAAATCCGAGTACTTTTTGAGCAGAAGGTACAATCTAATAATATAATATAATCATAATATAATCTCTTCAATTTCCCCGTCGTTTCTGTACTAATCAACTATTTCTGATATACAATAAAGATGATTAATATGCAATTCAATGCATTTAATTTAAGTTCTGCCTTTATATATAACAAAAGGTGAGCTTTTAATTTAAGATACATTTTTTTTAAGTAGCGCCACTTTTTAAGAAAATATTGCAATAGGGCGGAGATGAATGATGAGGAAAACAAATTTATGACTGGTTACGCTTTTGATAACAACATAATTATGGTAACAATAATAATGATGTTTACAAAATCGGCTCTAAATATTCCATACAAAAGAATAATAAAACTATTGTAAGACTGGAGTGAGTAAAAAAATTAAAATCAGAACAAATTTAAATTTTCGCTTGCATGACTCAAACTAGAAGACAATGCGCCTCTTTAGAAATCTTTAGAAACGCAATCTAAATTTTTTGAGAATACAGTCAAATAACGGTTTATATGTGTGTAAATATATAATGTTTGTTAAATTTGAGAAAAACATATTCTTAAATTTATTTATATATCTGTCTAATATGTCTGACTGCCTAATATTCACATTTGTCTTACATTTGTCTGTCTCATATCCGTATGTCTGCTTGTCTTGAATCTGTATGTCTTGAATCTGTATGTCTTCATATCTTTACATGTAAGTTCATTTGCTTCAGTCTTGAATTAAAGTCACACTTGGATGAGCTCCACTAAGAACTTAAGCCTACAATAAAGTTATATAATTTCTAAGAGTTTCTTTGAGAATTACTAAAATTTTTGTAGTTCTTCTAGAAGTTGGTTCCGCTCTTTAAACACGTGCTCTACAAATACGATTTGGACTAGGTTTTATCACATTTTTATGACAATTTTTATTTAAAGCAATTAAAGTGTCATAAATTTAGGAAAAAATATGCATTTAAATTCATTTTTCTTTAAATCTATAAGCAACTAAAAATAATTATAGGGCAATTATTACAAAAATGCCTTCAATTAATTCATTGCATCTGTGAAAGAAATTACAAAAGTTTGGGAAACTTCTTCGTTTCTTTATTTGTATATATCATTGTTTTGGGAATCAGAATTAGAATTGTTAAAGTCATTAGAAGTCATAACATTTATGATTTTTTTCATATAACATTTTTTCTTGTGTATCTAATATGCGACTGAATTGCAACCTCTTAATAAAGATAACCATTTTGTCAAAAAATACTTTTTAGATCCTTCATACTACCTTGAATAAAAGTATTCGTAACATTCGACATTATTTACAATGTGAAGGAGACTTTGAATGCCTCATAAAGTGATCTGATCAACTTCATTATAAAATCCATTTAAAAATATTCGTCTGCTTGTCTGTTAAGGTAAATTAGGTCTAAAGGACACCCATTGTTAAGAAAACTATTGCCTATTGTGATGTTTTTAAAGTCTTCAGGAGAAGAAGAGCTACATAAAGAAGAATCAAGACATTTATTTAATCACTTAGTATGTTTTATTATAATCTATAATAAAATAATCTGAAATTGGTGTAAAGGCTACTCATGCAGAAAAGTATAAATATTGAAGAGCATAAGTCCTACCTGTGGCAAACTTTCGAAACTAGCAGACAAAAATATGAATTATCAAATAAATTATTTTTAAAAGCACTAATATGCAACAATATAGCACTAAAAACAAATGATAGCATATCGTGCAAGTATCGTGCATACACTTTCGGGATGACATATTAGTTTATTTTCATGTACATATATACACATATTGTATAAATTATTTGTTTAATTGACCAGCGTAATTAGATACCTAAGCTAGACATAGAATTACGAAGGTTTGAAAATAAATACATGTATTTTATGTGGCAAGATTTTAAAAGATAAATGTGATTTTTAAAAAAAATTATCTTTAAGAGCACTAATATGCTACAAATTAGTTATAAAATGAGTGATAATTTGTATAGGAAGACTTTATATAATGTTCTATTAAAAGAATAGTATACTTTAATGGAAATATATATAATAATCTAAATTGCATTTTAAATTAATAAAATCCGGAAAGCTTTTGTCCTTTTACCAATAAAGGAGCTTTAACCTAAACTAAATGGGCTTAGAGAATGGTAGAATAGTTTTACACACGGTTGCCACTTGAAAATTTTTTCCTGTACCAAAATTGGTTTAAAAAGGTACCATTTCTGTAAAAAAAAATTTTGGACCTTTTTATTTTTTCGTTCTGTGTTTTTCATAGTGTTATAAATGAACAAAATATAAAATAGTTCAAAGTTGCATTTATAAAAAAAATTAATTGGAAATATCCACAATAAAGTTGGGTCGTCAAAAATGTACCATTTCTTGAACATGAGTACCAAACGAAAAAAAAAGTACCAATTTTGGTACTAAAGTACCATAAGTGGCAACCGTGGTTTTACAATCTAGTAAATGAGACTTCTAAATACGTTCTTTGTGAACGTACGTCAATATGAGGATACTGAAAATTTAGATATAATTTTGCTTATTATATTCTATGGGTTAAAATGATTGATTTCGATATAAAAGCATATAATGTCATTGTAATATAATAAAGTTTTTATAGATAAGATTCTAATTAATAATGAGGTAATATTTTTAATTTTTATTATTAATTTAATTGATTTGAGACAGCAATATTTGAATTATACTGTGTTTACACAGTATGTGCTTATCAGACACGAATCCAAGAGAGGACTTCTGCAGCTGAAATGCTCTGCGAATTGAACCCATAAACTATATGCTCACATATACCTATAACAATAATGAAAAAGTATTATCTACAGTTAAAACCGCCTATAAATTAAGGTGTGAACTATAGATGGCTCCACACGCGTAGCCGGGAGAAAGAATTGTTGGGCTGTAGTCCACTCTCAAAATAAATTGAAGGGCTATATGTTTATAAATCTATATTTATTATTAATGTATTATAAATTTTAAATAAGATAATAATTTTTTTTTTTAGATATTATATAGAAAAATGTTCGATATAAAACTATCAAATCCCCTCAAAGTAAGTGTCTAACGGGCCATGTGCTCGTATATGATGTGTGTGAATATTGCATGAGAAAAATAAATATGTTACTTAAGAATACTTTCTTTGTTCAATCACTTGACGTTATTGGCTTCATTATGTTACAGTTGAGATGAAATTTGGGCTTAATTAATAGATCAAAAACTTTGTCTTCGAAGCCAAATGCGATGCACTGATAACTTTGCACATACGTGCAAAATATCTATTTGTTTAGATACGTAACCTGGCTTACATTGTGACCGAAAGGTTTTCGGAGGTTCTCATTTAAAATTCGCGCGCTGTATATTTTTCGATATTTTAAGTTTATGTAGTTTGGCAGCACT